GCGTCTCGGGGCGTCTGGGCCCTGCCTCTGCGCTGGGCTGACGGGGAGATCATCGCCGAGTGGGATGGAGAGGAGCCGGTGGATTTTCTTGCACCAGGTATTGTGCCTGGTGTCCTGCTCTGCTGCGGGGTCCCCACGATGCTCTCGTGGGACATCCCACCTCTAAGCTGGTGCATGAGGTGCTGGGCTGCATCCTGGAGCTGAGCGTGTTTCGATAACACAAGGCAGTGGGGGCCACTGGGGCGGTGGGCCGGGACGCTGGGAGGCCAGGTTGGAGCTGGCCCTGCAATAGGAGGGTGACTGTGGTTCCTGATGATGCTGGTGGGAACAGGACCATGTAGGGGTACATCCATGTCCTACAGACTTTGCTCCTCTCTCCCCTTGCAGAGAAGTTTCTGCAGAACCAGCGTCTCAGTTATGGGCAGCTCCTGTCCCTGCTGCTGGGAGCGGAGGGGAACGGGACGGGGACAGAGACCGGGATGTCCCTGCTCCAGGTCCAGCTGGTGCTGGAGGGCGAGGGGATGGAGATCACCATGTCCAGCAGCGAGAGCCAGCCTCGGCACGGAAAGCAGGCTGTCACCTTCAGGTACCCATCACGGCACTTTGGGGAGCCTCGGTGGGGTTTGGGACAAGCGTGTCTGATCTCGCCCGGGCTGCCCTGTGCTGTGGGGCTCAGCCCCACTCCCTACACCCCTCGGGGGTTTAACTGCTCCCATGGCTGTGCCTGAGCCTTGAGCCGAGCTGTCCTGCAGCGGGTGGCTGTCAGGCTGACCCTGTCCTTCCTCCCATGCTCCTTCTCCAACAGGCTGCATGAGGCAGAGGAGGGTGCAGAGCCTTCACTGTCAGCCTTCAGCTTCCAGCGCCTGCTCTCCAACCTGACCACCCTCCGCCTCCGTGTGAGCCGTGGCCCCGTGCAAGGTGGGTGGTTCCATGCAGCGTCCGCATGGGGACCAAGCTGGGATGGGGCTGGGGACATGGGAGCAGCATCAGGCTCTCCGGGATGAGAGGCATTGCAGGGGGTGTGATGGGGAGGGGCTGGCTCCTCTCTGTGAACACCCCTGGACTCTCCAGGAGGTAATTTGGGGTCTCCTACGCCTGTCTGGAGCATTTCCAGGCAGGATGGAGAGAACAGGGGTGGAGGACGTGCCATCCCATCCTGACGCCGCTCTCCCCTCCCACAGGCAGGCTGTCCCTGAGCGAGGTCCAGCTCACGTCCGCTCGCCCCGGGCCGGGGGTGCGGGCAGGCTGGGTGGAGGCGTGCACGTGTCCCCCGGGCTACGCCGGGCAGTTCTGCCAGTCCTGCGCGCCCGGCTTCAAGCGGGAGATCCCCTTCGGCGGCCCCTTCGTCCGCTGCGTGCCCTGCGCCTGCAACCAGCACGGGGACTGCCACCCTGTCACAGGTGCGCACCCCCTGGACCCCCCACTCGCCCCGTCACTGTGTGCTCAGGTGACAAATACCTGTCATTGCTTGTTTCTGAGGGATGCTGGAAACCAGCTGTGAGGTTGCGGTACCTGAAACTTGGAAGTTGAATCGCTTGGCTGGTTGTAGGGACCGAGTTCATAGCTGCAAAGCCAGAGATAATTAGCGAACTGCAGTAACAATGGTAATTTGTGATCAGAGAGGCATTCTTCATGGTACTTCATGACCTTAATGGAGGAGAAAGGCAGGGTGCTGGTCCTCAGCGGGGTGGGGAGGCAGGGGTCAGGGCAGGAGAGGGGCAGTGGGTTTGGCCAGGACGGGTCTCGCAGGCAGCACAGCTGCCCGAGGAGCAGAGAAGGACTGGGCACAGCCCTGGCGCCTGCAAACTGGGGGTGAACCTGAGCAGAGAAACAAGTAGAAGAACCAGAAAACCCAGCGGTGCCAGAGGTGTGGGAAGGCACCAGAGGAGGTGGCTCTCGCGCTGCCAGCCCAAGCCCTGCTCTGCCTCCAGATCCAGCTCAGAGGTGCGTGACTGCAGCAGGGACTGTGGCTGGAGGGGAGAAAAAAACACAAGCAAAGTGGTCAGGGCAGCGTGGCTGTGTCCGGGGCGGTTTGCAGGGCGTTGGCTGTCCCCTCTCCTGTCAGGCAAAGTATCTGCGTGGCTGCAGGGGGGTAGGACTGCAAACCGCTGCCTTGGGGCTTGAGGTGGCTGCATGAATCCAGCACCAGCTTTGCTGCAGTCTGTCCTGGGGAGAGGCAGATCAGAGCCGTGAGGGGCTTATGAGATGCTGCCTTCCTCCCCGTCCACCCCTGCAGAAAGCAGCAGCTTGCTGAAATGAGCTTGGAAATAAGATGATGCATTTGGTACCCTGATGGAGCCCCTGGGGCTCCTCGCTGGCTGGCTCCCCTCGGCGAGGAATGACATTAGTGTGTGGCCAGGATGGAAAGGGCTGGCAGAGGCGTTGTGCTCAGCAAGCTGCCTGCCCTGCCAGCAGAAACGCGGCAGCAGCTCTGCAGCCTGGCCCTCATCTCACGGAGCCGGGACTGGCGCTGCCGACCACACAGTCCCCAGGGACGGGGCCAGGCTTTTGATGTTCCGACCCAGGCACTGCCGGCCCGCACGCTTCCTTTCATTTATTTTTCCGCTCCTTCCTGCCACTCTGCTTTTTCTTTCTTTTCCGTCGTTCGGCTCTGCCTGGATGTGGGGAAAATGGAAAAATTCCCGTTTCCTCCTGCGCAACCCAGCTGGTATGACCCAACCCCACAAATCCTGGGGAAAAATCCTCCCCCACCTCGGTCTCCTCCTCTCCGTCCAGTCAAGCAGAACGTCTGCCTGGTCCCCGCGCCGCGGGGGAGCGTGGGCCTGGTGCCGGGGCCCCAACGTCCTCTCCAAAACCTTCTCCCTTGAGCAAGGATGGGGCAGGGAGGGGAAACGTTATGAGTCCTGGTTGGGGACGTGCTATCCCAGCGTGATCCCTTGGCTGGAGCTGCGCGTCCCTCCCAGCACCCATGGTGTGCCACGCTCAGCACGTGGCTCTCCATCCCTCCCAGGGTCCCTGCTGCCATGCAGGGCTATTTTGCAGACCTTCAGATTCTTTTTCCTCCTTGCAGGACACTGCCGGTGCTCGCACAACACCGAAGGGCCCTCCTGCGAGCGCTG